AGGACATCTCTGCTGGGGGTGGGGGCAGGTCTCAGCTCTGACCCCTGCTCTGGGTTGCCATTCGATGTGTCTTCTGCCTCATCAGAGCTTCAACCTCCAGTGAAAACACCTTGGAAAACAGTTCCTCAAAATGGTCACTCACTGTGTGAGCCTGTGACCCTGCCAGTTCTAGGCATCTACCCCAGGGGAATGAAACAAATGTCCACACAGATCTGTGTGCCCATGGACACAGAACCACTGACATTGGCCAAGAAGTGGAAAGAGCCCAAATGTCCATCCAAGGATGAATGGACAAGCAAAACACAGCCCATCCACACAAGCAAAATGTGGCCAATTCCCACGGGGAATATTACTTATGTATGAAAAGGAATCAAATACTGACACAGGCTACCACATGCACGAGCCTTGAAAGCATGATGCTCAGTGAGAGGCCACTTGTGGCTAGATCTGTTTGTGTAAAAGGCTCAGGACAGGCAAAGCCACAGATAAAGGAAGTGGATGTGTGGGTGCCCAAGGCTGGGTGAGGGGTTCATGAGGAGTGACTGCTGATCAGCGTTTTTCTCGGAGGCGGAATGTTGTGAAATTACATATTGGCGACAGCTGAGAAACGCTGGGACTATAGTAAAAACCCATGGACTGTGCACTTGCAGTGGGTGAACTTCGGGGCTTATGAATTTTATCTTGGTCAATCTGCTAAAAACAGTCTTAGCCCTCCGTTTGAGATGGCCACTGGCCAATGTCTCCATCTCCCCTTTAACCAAATAAAAATGAACGGTGCCAGAGCAGTGATAGAAAACGGAAGCATGCCATCCACAGACCAGGTCAGTAATTTTCTGGAAAAGGCAAGACAAAAAGATCAGGTTCTGCTGACTTTAAATCCCACAGAAAGAAAAGCAGAAGAAGGACTGTGAAGATTGGGAAGAAGGACGGTGCTAGGTCTCCCGGGACCCTCGTACGGGGACCACACATGAGGATGACTGTGAGCGCTCAGCGGTCTTTAGCTGATGTGTCGAGTTCTCAGGAAGAGCCACTCGGTGGCCTGCATCCATTGGGAGAACCAGGAAGGGTGGGGCTGGCCCAGGAGACTCCCAGCCTAGGTCCCAAGCTGGAGAGGAAGAGGCCATGCCCCAGGAAGCTCTGGATGCCAAGATAAACGGGATACCCCACGTCCAACCAGCAGTGAACAAGGTCAGCCATAGAGAGGAAGGAGATCCCATGATTTGTGGCAACGTGGATCAACCTGTAGACATGATGCTAGGTGCAATAACCCAGGCACAGAAAGTCAAATACTGCAGACCTCCCTCATACGGGGAATCTAAGAAACCAAGCTCACCAAAGCAGAGAGTAGAGTGGTGGTTTGCAGGGGCTGGGAGTGCAGGGCATGGGGAGGTGCTGATGACAGGATGCAGTTTCAGCTGTGCAGGATGAGTCCATCCTGGAAATCTCACATGCAACATGGGGACAGTTGACTGTAATGCAGAATGTGATGCAGTGACACTGAAATCTGCTAAGAGAGTCCCTCTAAATGTCTCACCAGAAAATAAAGGTAACTACGTGGGGCGATGGACATACTAATTAGCTTAACTGCGGTAATCATCGCCCAATGTGTGCATGTATCAAGATGTCGTGTTGTACACCTTGAATTTATGTAATTCTTATTTGTCAATTACATCTCAATAAAGCTGGGGAAAAAGGGATCATGACCTATTGTCAAGTAATGTATGTCTTAGATCACAGGTTACAAAGGATATCATTAACTATACTCAGAAAAAAGAAGCAGAAAAGCCACTGGAACTCTCAGTAGATTAATACACACACGGACATATATGAACAAACTCACTCCTTCATTAAAAGCCCAAGGCAAAATTCTTGGTAAACTAGAATAGAAAAACGCCACATGCATGAGACCAAGGCTGTGCCACAAACCAGCAAACATGGGCTTAGTGCAGAGCTGCAGGGGGCACTTCTGTTAACTCTGGAAATAAGACCAGAGGGCTGCTGTCATCGTGTCTCCAGGGCTGTGCTGGGCAGCCAGCCATGACGGATGGGAGTCAAATAAAACAAAAGGCTACATTTTGGAAAAGAAGAATCCAAACGTGTCACTTGCAGAATACCCGGCTGTGGGCCACCCTGCCCTCGAGACTCACGTCCCCTCCCAGCACCTCCGTCTCCCAACCCTGGGCCATTTAATCCCTGCAGCTCAGCTCACTCATATCCCCAGAGTCTCTGCCTGATTTAAGAAATAGTTTGATCATTTGATTGTCCACAGAAGGCCTGCTGGCACCCAGCAGAAAGTTCCATGATCCAAAAGGACACATCTCCAGTGAGTACGGGGCTCCAAAGTTGCACCTCATGTTGTGACTGTTGTAAAAAGGCCACACTTGAACTGTGTGTGTCCTCAGTGCACCCACTAATATGATGTCATCCTAGATTTCCTGGCTTTCCTATCATTTCCTGAAAGCAGCACCAAGTCTTTCGATCCCAGAAAGTAGATTAAGCACACAAGTTCTCACACACCTGTAGTAATGGTCACTGAAAGGATATCTAAAGAGTTATAAAAAAATGAAATCAAAATTATCTAATAAGAAAGGAGGCTCAGCAGGGTCCTTCATATGTTTGTAGAAAAAAGAAGCAAACAGAAACAGATTAAGCAGTAAATTGGAGAAGGATCCTAATGCACTAGAATAAATTGAATGTACTGCCACCAATGAGCAGACTTTATCTGATGTCCAGTGAAACAAGGAAAAATATTTAAAAACTCAAAGTAACATCATCAGAGTGAATGGATAACATATTTCATTCAACACAAGACAAAAATAAAAGGTCATAAAAAGAGAGACCAGGAAAGATAAAATTGTTGTTAAAAGTGCAAAAACACTTCTGAGATGAATCTTTACGTTGAAAGATTAGAACTCAATGAGTTCTAACCACAGAAAGTAAAGCAATGCATAAGCCTAGAAACAAAAACATGACATTTTAGAACAACGAAAAGAAACCCAAATGCTCCCAGAGACTTAAGGAAAGAGAGAGAGAGAGAAACAAAAAAGATGATAAATGACCAGCATCAGACTGTCATCGGTAACACTGGATATCACCAAAAAAAAAAAAAAAAAAGCGAAATATATTCACCATTTTGAGGAAAAGTAATTTAAAACTAGAATTTTACGCCCAGCTAAACTATCATTATAAGTATAAAGTTGATACATTTTCAGACAAGCAAGGAATCTTAAAGTGTATGTCCTAAAATCACCATATATGAAAAAGTACTTGATCTTTTACCATGGAAAATGAAAATTGAAAGGATCCAGGGTGCAGCTTCTAATAAAACAAAGAGAGGCCTCGGAAGGTGGCATGGAAGAGCTGAAGAGACACAGATAAAGTGTGGATCAACCTTCTATGGCATAAGGGATTGGAGGCCACTTAGCTTCCTTTTATCTCATTCTCTGTATTATTTGTTTTTCATACAAAGCACACATTTTTCTCCATATTTATTTTTTTATTTTCTTTTGAGACAAAGTCTCTCACTGTTGCTCAGGCTGGAGTGCAATGGCGCTATCTCAGTTCACTGCAACCTCCACCTCCTGGGTTCACAGGATCCTCCTGCCTCACCCTCCTGAGTAGCTGGGATTGCAGGTGCACACCACCACACCCAGATAATTTTTTATATCTTTTGTAGAGACAGGGTTTCACTATGTTAGCCAGACTGATCTCGAACTCCTGACCTTGTGATCCACCCACCTCAGCCTCCCAAAGTGCTGGGATTACAGGCATGAGCCACCGTGCCTGGCCCATATTTAAAGTAATAAAATATATCTAATCAGTCCAGAAACAGGATAGGTGGAACCAGAATTGCTCCCTTTGGAGAAATGTTCATCTCTAAACGCTCAACTCAACAAAAGCTTGCTTGAAATATTTTCCACCACATTTCTGGAGCCAAAATAAAAGCTCACGAAGAAGCAGAGCTCTACAACTACACACAAGTTTAATGAGGGAAAAACAAACAGATAAATATCGCATCTCCAGCCACCAGCTCTAAACACCAACGAGGAAGAGAAGCTTCTGGAGCCTCGTGTCTGGACAACACATGCCAGGGAGGGGTATAAAAGCCCCACAGCCCAGAGCACCTCATTCACTCACTCACTCACTCCCTCGCTCACTCACATCTCCCCCACTCACCTCCTCCACACCCCAACATGGCCGCATCCACCATGTCCGTCTGCTCCAGCGCTTGCCCCGACTCCTGGCAGGTGGATGACTGCCCAGAGAGCTGCTGCGAGCCCCCCTGCTGTGCCCCCAGCTGCTGCGCCCCGGCCCCCTGCCTGACTGTGGTCTGCACCCCAGTGAGCTGTGCGTCCAGTCCCTGCTGCCAGGCGGCCTGTGAGCCCAGCCCCTGCCAATCGGGCTGCACCAGCTCCTGCACGCCCTCGTGCTGCCAGCAGTCTAGCTGCCAGCCGGCTTACTGCACCTCCTCCCCCTGCCAGCAGGCCTGCTGTGTGCCCGTCTGCTGCAAGCCTGTCTGCTGTGTGCCCACCTGCTCTGAGGGCTCCTCTTCATGCTGCCAGCAGTCTAGCTGCCAGCCGGCTTGCTGCACCTCCTCCCCCTGCCAGCAGGCCTGCTACGTGCCTGTCTGCTGCAAGCCCGTCTGCTGCAAGCCTGTCTGCGGCAAGCCTGTGTGCTGTGGGGCTTCCTCTTCATGCTGCCAGCAGTCTAGCTGCCAGCCGGCTTGCTGTGCCTCTTCCTCTTGCCAGCAGTCCTGCTGTGTGCCCATCTGCTGCAAGACCGTGTGCTGTGTGCCCACCTGCTCTGAGACTTCTTCATGCTGCCAGCCGGCTTGCTGCACCTCCTCCCCCTGCCTGCAGGCCTGCTGTGTGCCTGTCTGCTGCAAGCCTGTGAGCTGTGTGCCCATCTGCTGCAAGCCCGTCTGCTGTGTGCCTGTTTGCTCTGGGGCTTCCTCTTCATGCTGCCAGCTGTCTAGCTGCCAGCCGGCTTGCTGCACCACCTCCTGCTGCAGACCCTCCTCCTCCGTGTCCCTGCTCTGCCGCCCTGTGTGCAGGCCTGCCTGCTGCGTGCCTCTC